ATGTACACAGTGACAGACCGGTATTAGACCCTCCTGTTACCTCTGGGTTTGTTTTCCCAATTTCCGGGGTGACTTTTAGGAACATGCAAGCATTTGCCTGGAGTTGCAGGTAAACTGAACCCTGCAACAGAAACTCAACAGCTTCCTGTCTCGGTTTATACAAACCAAAATAGCAGAGAGTTAAAAAACAAAGAAAAAAGCTATTATCTCTCCCCATGGGTTAAACAGCACATAAATTTCAAAAAGGCACATGAGCAAAGATAAATGGGCTGTTGCAGTGTTCATCTCTTTTGTTTGTTGTAAATTATTGTGTGTAATTCATGTTTCCTGTCCATAAATACCAGAGGAACTTGGAGACATGGAATCCATTCTAATTCAGTAAAGACAAAAACAACTCCTTTTGAGCCCATCTGGAACTTGTTTTTATCATAATTGTTTTGGGCTCAGTAACGAGTTCAAGATCTAACTGCCGTCACTAATTGTTTCAAGAATAAACAGATGCTTTGTTTAAAGGTGGCAGCTCCCATTTTGCCCAGCACAGCACTCTCTGGGGTCGCAGGATGAAAGGAGCTGTGCGCCGTGTCAGCACAGGCCCTAACGAGTGTTGGCGCCCTTGTCGGGTGCTCACCCCGCTGGCAGCTGGAAAACCAGCCCCCAGCCCTGCATGTGGAGTGTCCAGCCAGTGATGTGTGCCCTCTGCTCTTTAACACCGCTGGTATTTTGTTTGTAACTTCATCTGATGGCCTTTTGCAGTGTGTCATGCTGTGACAAGTCATACCTGCTCTGATGACGCATAGGCACCTCCTCCAGCGGGGCTGTGGGACACTCAACGGAGAGTGTTCATTCCCCGGCCATATAACCCCAAGCCCCTTGCCTGGAGTAATGCTCCACCCTCTTGCTTAGAGCTCTGCTTATTTTCTTCATTTGAAAACAAAGATACCCCCACACAAACCCACTCTGAGAGACTCCCCCCACCAGGACATGAGACCATGGCAGTTCTGTTCAAGGCCTCACTCATGGTGCTCCCCAGGACATGCCGGGCCCGAGACCCCTGACAGCCCTGGTAGAGAAGAGATCATTGCATGATCGATGCCCCGGCACTAGGAACAGGTTCAGAAAGAGCAGCACTGAGCTGCCCCACAAGGGAGCCACACCAGCCAGGGGGACCTCACTGGAAGGTTATTTCAGCTCTCACCCTCAGCCCTCGGTGGCACAGACAGCAGGTGCCAAGAGCTCCAGGTCCACCATGGAGTAGTCACTAAGAGTTTCTGCTCCAGTTTAGGCTCCATGAACCTGCTGTGCACAGATAAGCTGTGTAATCAGAACTGCCTGAGGCACTTGAAATGTTTACTTTTCCATGTTTAGTGGCCATATATAAATTCTTTCTGCTTCATTGAAGGATTTCTTGTCCCAAATCAGCTAACTCTAGAGTGTCGTGGCTGAAGTCAGGAGAAAGGGAATCATACAGATTTGGATGGATTTTTAAATTTGTTTGTTTGTTAGAAAGAAACTAAAGATAGCACTTAGACCTCAGCCCTCCAAGGACATGTGGTTTGCACAGGGTTTGCTGTAAATCACAGTTTATGTTATTTTTATTTCCTATGGGTTTTAGTTCAAAAACACAGCTTTGCATCTGGCATATCATGAAAAAGAAGATTTGACTTAAATCTCCTTGAGCAGAGCCTGATCACACATCCAAATAAAGCACCTCTTCCAAAACAGCTTCTGATCATGAGTTGAAGACATCAAACAAGAAAATGTCTGTCTTTTTGTACAGTTATTTTTTTCCAGTGTTTAATCATTCTTGTTAAATTCTTCTGCCTTGTGATCTGTCCTCTACACCATAGGTCACCTCCCACAGCTGTCAGTAGGGAATATCCTTCAAGGGCCTTTATTTTGTAACATCCATTTCATAAGCACTGTGGCCAAATCAACAAAAGAACTGAAAAACAATCCCTTATTTCTTATAAAAAGAGATCTGTGTTCAGCTTACAATAGCAGCACATCAACTGAGCATGCTGTCAGCTGCTGAAGAGTCAGAAATGGTATTTGTAGTTTGGTTTTCAGCAAACTTTTTTCAGGGGCAGGAGTATGTGTCCCAGTCGAGGTGCCTCTCAGTAAGCCAGGGGACAGCTCTAATCAAAAGCTCTATCTGAAGTGAGTGATAAATAAGAAAGCAGGATGAGTCTGACACTCTGACACTGCTGCACACATTTTCCTCTCCTCAACGAGAACATTCAGCAACATTTGCTGCCATTTGGCAGAGTCTAAATGCTCTTCTCTTGCACACAGAAACAGAGGTTTAGTTCAGCCAGGCAGTTTGTTCTCTCTGACCTTCAGGTCACCCAGTTTCACCCAACTGCCTGCATCAGTGTCTGGTACAAAGAAGGAAGGAAAGGAAATAGTTCAGCCACAGCATGACCTACAGCTCACAATGCACTGAAACAAGGGTATTTCAATCATTTTTACTATTTTGGGCTTTCTCAATTTTCTCTGGGAAGCTCTACTGCTTATCAGGAGGATGAAAATGCAGACTGCTGATCCAGCATATAGAACATACAGCCATTCATCTCATATCCAAAAATTCTAGCTGGCAAGGAAAAGCAGCTAGTTCCCTTGGCTGCATCAACCCTCATGTCCTCAGAGGACTCAGATCCCATGTATCCCCTCTGGTTTGGAAAGCATCCCAGTGACTCTGTGTGGTAGCAGAAGCTCTCTCAGCATTGGGTCCCTGCCCTGAGAAACCTCTGGGATGAAGCCCATTTCCTGAAATTCTTATACAGTGTCTTGAACTGACATAAATTGTGGGTTTTTTATAAAGAACACTGGTGAACTGCTGGAACTGAGAATAATGGTGTCACAGCAGGGCACTCATTTCCTACAAAGAAAATCAATTTTAACAACTAAGTTCCATAAACATTGCTGTCATCATAAAACCAGCAAACCCGCTGCATGTTTCTTGAGAAAGCCACTTGTTTGTGGATCATATTATTTGTCTTCTTTATTCTGAGCGAGTCCTGCAAGAGTCAGGACAAGCAGACAGAGGTATTTTGTATCTCACAGTGATGGTCCTTGCAGGAAAGTGAGAAGGGTTTAAAGAAATATCCAGGCTAGAGCCTGGGAAACAGCCAACAACCAGCCAAGGAGCAGCTCCAAATCTCTTCTGTAATTTACAGTGTAGTGTTTGTAGGGAGAATTCATCCTGTCAATCCAAGCCTCACAGATGTAAATGGGGCCCCTTTTCTCCTCTTGCACTGTAATTGCAGTTGGCTCAGATCATTCTGTGGTAAAAACACTCTAAAACTTGGGAACCTCTCAGTGCGTGACAGATCAAAGAGCATGTGTTGATGGTCTTTCCTAATGACAGGATTACCACTTATTCCTGCAGTCAGATAATTACAGACAGAGCCTGCCATCACATTCTCCAAGTAACTACTCTCCCATGCTCATGGCATCGTATTTCACCTTGATTATGACAGGTTTGAGTTAATTGAAAAAGTATTCGAGGGAAGAGGGTGGTAGATCCCTGCAGTACTGCTGGAAACCTGCCGGGTTTATGTGAAGTTATGAACTCTAGAGCCAGGAGTTTGAGTAACTACAGAGCAGTGGATATACCCTGGTGACAGACCCCGAGACTGGGGATTTCTCATCTACATCAGCTGCAACTCTGAGATTTGGAGAACAAGGACTGAACATCGGGAATGATGGGTTTTTTAAGGTGCTGCACAAAGCTGGCTGGAAACACAACCAATGTGAACATTTCTCAACACCAAAGCACAAGTCATATATAGATGCTGTGTAGGAGGAAAAAAAATCTGTTCCTTCACTCCTCATCAAGGCAGCTGTTACTTCCAGCTAGCCAGCTGCACACACAAATCTAGACATAGCAACAGAGTAGACAACATTAAGAAACTCGAGCTTTTCTTTTTGAATATGTTACTGTTTTTGATACATGCTGCCTAAACTATAGGTTGACTTGTACAGTTGGGTAAAGTTACACCTGTTTCCCAGTGAACAAGTTATTGTTTGGGAAGGTGTTGGAAGTGTTCATCTAACCCCTGCCACAGTGCTGGAATATTGGATTCAGAGCCTAATACAGCAAATTTTGTACTTCTCCTGCCACTTAGTGGCTGCGGCTGATGCAGCATCACATCTCTACTCACACAATCGTGAGAAAATACTTCTGTGATGTGGAACAGATTTATATTTCTGTTCAGGTTTAGTAAAACCTGAGTAGGGACAAAGAGGCATTTTTAAAAAAGTTTCACTTATTTTGAATACTTTGAAGTCTGTCAGGGGCCTCACAATTTGCAATCTGCAGGATGAAAGAATGTTAAAATATCATGGTTATTCCTAAAGGCCAGGTATTCTGTGAAGCAGTAGCTTGGATGTTACTGCTGGCAGTGCAATATGCCTCCATCTCCACTGGGCCCATCTCTAGGATTCATAAGGTTGCACCATTTCTCACTGCCAGGGAGTGCCTTTCATATTTCATAGAGAGCAGCAAGGCTGTCCTTGCTGTTACTGCTGCCTTGCTGTCTTCTGTACATGGCAGGATCTAGTGCTGTCAGTGTGGCTGTCTGCTCTATGCCAGGCTGCAGGGAGGAGACAGGACCACAGCCTTCTGTGCATCACTCACAGCTTTGTCAGCAACCCCTGGATTGACTGCATGGCACCAGGACACGGACAGGACTGCAGTGAAAGGCCCTGGATAACAAGGATTTGAAAGGTTTGGGCTTCATTTATTCCTGTCACCGGCAGGACCAAGGTTTGTCTTTCAGATCTTAGATTGTGTTCCAGGGCAAATACAGTCAGAAAAAGAAAAACTTGTAGTTCACTTCTGCTTTGATCACACTTAATCAGACAAGTGATACTGGGCAACTGTGCCAGATGCTCTGAGAGGGAATCTATGCAAACCACACTGGCTTTCAAGAGGATTTAGACAGCTCTGGATCTTGGAGAATCATTTTCCCAAATTGTCTTTCAAATGTTCTTACTTTTCCCCAGAATGTGCTTTGAACAAAATTAATTGAACTGTCTTGCTAATGAACATGCAGCCCTGTTTTGAGAATGTAAATCAGCTGGCAAAACACCTGCCAAGTCAAGTGTCTTATCCTAACGTAATGGGTGACTAAATACACATTCCTGTGCTGGAGATTTAAATAATCCTTTAGAGCACTGCTGAGAGTACCAGGGGCTTTGGCAGACAGAGGAAAACCTACGAAAGAGGATGAACAAGCTGCAGAGACTGGTAAAACATCTATTTTACTATTATTGCTGACAGATTTTTTTTTTAATTTGAATTTTTATGAAGCTGTGTAAGTACTATCAGGTTCTCATAGAATTATTTTCCAACTCATCACAGTCCTTGGGATAAAACTGACAGACTAATGGCTCTCTTGGCAGCTGCACACCATCGCTGTGGCTGAGAAAATAGTGCAGAAGCCGGGTGTTAAGGAAGGCTTGGGAAGGTCACTCTATAAATACAGCTCAGCTTTGAGCACAGAACTGTTTGGTGGGTCCTGGAGGAAGAAACAAACCATTTTGCTTTAGCTCATGGCCACAAAAGAGCTCTGTGGTACAGGACCTGTAGGGGATGTACTCTATAATGAAAGCAGGGAAACGAGCAGGAGCAGTGGTAGAGTCCTAGGCATTGTGAGTTAAAAAGAGAAATGTGCTATTATTGTAGGGAGAGGAAATCTCTCTCACCTGGAGAACTAGAATAACTAGGAAGAGCAGAGATATCAGGAGCACAATCCTTAGCTCAGGTCTCAGTAACAAGACAGGGAAGTGGTGCAGCCATAAAAAGTGCAAAGAGAAACGTAGCCGCTTCTAATGGGGACAGGAGAGAGCTCAGCCTCTTCTTGCTGCAGGGCTGGAACAGTCTGGATTTATTTTTGTCCCGGGAGAACGTCCTGTCTCAGGCTGGTAGGGAAGTTATTTACAAGAAAAGACTTTGAGAAAAGGAAAAATCTAAGATTATTTGAATTTGTGGTTTTAGAACTATTGCAAGACTAGACCAAACTTTCCTTTTCTTTGGTAAAGGGCTCTGTGAGAAGAAAATGAGCAGGTAGAGCAGAAAGAGCTCCCCAGCATTGGGTTATCCAAGTTCTCGGGGTCAATGGGGTCATATTCATGTAGTGAAACACAATCTGGCCTGAGGTGCCCTGCAGTGGCTGGCTAACAGCCAAGCCTGAGCATGGGCTCTTCATGTTACACTAGAGCTTTCCCAGTGGGAGGGGTTTTGCAGCAGGGGGCTGGCAAAGGCCATCCTGGCCCTGGGCCACTCAGAACTGGAGGTGTCAGACTAAAGGCCAGGGTCCCCCAGCATGCTCAGAGTGGTCTTGAGATATGGGACAGTGTTCCCAGTGCAAGGACACCCTCAGGGCACAGCTTGCCTGTCACAGGATTTCACCTGCAGATGGGGAAACTAAAGGCACAGGCACAAAACAGCATTCTATTTTAATCTAAAATATGTGTTATTATTATGAGAAGGTAGAAGAAATAGCATGCCAGTGTATCACAAATGCACTGGATATATATGGCCATGAGAAAAATCTCCCAGCTCAAAGTGTGAATTCTGTGGGGTCATTTTATTCTGTGCAAGGAAGCCATCCATTTTCTGTCCCTTTTCTTCAGCTTCAGAACAAGATCCTGATCCTGACAATATGTGCTGCTGGGATTGGAGGCACTTTCCAATACGGTTACAACATCTCCATCATCAATGCTCCAGCTGCAGTAAGTACTGCTAGTCCCAAAGTACACCTGCCCGAGGGCCTCCTCCCAGGACAGACCCTTCCTTGGTGGCTCTGTTGGACAGTGATGTGCCATTGCTGGTGCTGAGGGACAGAAGGGAAAGATGTGTTGTTCCCTCTGTATAATTCACATCTGGGGTACAGGACTTTGCTGTCAAGAGCCAACTTTGAGCAGGATGTAGTGTCGCAAGAATTTATTCAAAATCTTTGTCTCAACTCCTTTAGCAAATGTAATTCTAAAATTTTCTAACCTGCACCCTTTGAAACTGATTTTTGCCCCTATATTCAAATTTAGACCCATGAAATTAATTTTTAAATTATCCAAGGTAGCTACATACAGATAGGAACCAACTGCAACTTTTCAACGGCAACAATTTTACACTCTAAACTCTGTTAAAAACTCATCTGGAACTGGAAGGGATTGGAGGCATAAACACAGAATAAATAGATATATTAATAAGGAAGACTTTATATTTCTCAGTGTCCTTCATCTCTATGTGGTGGTTGTGCTGCCCTGTCCCTCTCCCTCAGTACATCCAGACGTTCATGAACACGACCTGGCTGGAGCGCACGGGCGTTCCCCTGGAGAGCAACGTGATCCTGCTGCTCTGGTCCTTCACTGTCTCTGCATATCCCCTGGGAGGCCTCACTGGGGCTGTGGTTGCTGGTCCCATGGCCATCATGTTGGGAAGGTAAGAGGGTGCTGGAGTTTAATTTGGGCTTTGCAGCTTCCATTACTCTGAGAGGAATTAGGGGCCCTACAGCACAGTGCTCACTGCAGTTAAAAATAATGAAAACATGTTTTCTGTCATGGACCAGTCTGCCTTAAACATTCTGAGTTGGCAGGGAGCATATTCTGTTATGACAGTATTTCATATCTCAAAACCCAATGGGGAACATTTTTGTCCCCCAAATCACCTTCTCATCATATTCCAGCCCAGCTGAGGTGCTACAAGGATCTCGGCTCGCCTCCGTATCACAGTAGCCACCTACATCATCACCATCATTTTTGTGCCAGTTTTCTGCCATCCTTTTAAATAGGAAATCATAATGGGTCAGACCAGGTATTTTTCTTTAAAATAAACTGTGGGGATTGGTAGGAATGACACTGGAAAAACAGAGGGTGGTTGTGCATCCCAGGTCCTCCTGTCTCACAGGTCACTTTTTGTCTGATGTATTTTAGGAAGTATTCATTAAATTCCCACAATTGGAGGGTTTTTTCTCTGCTCTGGAGTCTCTAAAAAGTATTTGTCTTACCTCATCTATCTTTCATACACAGCTCTATCTCCAGTTCTCTTCAGAAAAAAAACCACTCAGTGTTGCTAACATAAACTAATAGGTAGTCAGATTTTCCTTCCCTCTCTCTCGATCCCAAAATTTTCCTCTATGTGCTATGACTTTGCTTTGTTCCTCTGGTATGATGAAGCAGGCACCACTGTGAAGGACTGTCTCCCACGGCTTACTTATTTCATGGTTATGAATATCTGGAAAGGATACAGCTTTTTTTTCCAATTAAAATTTTAGAGACTTCACCCTGTACTGCTTATCATAAATAAGATTAAAAAAGACTGACTGGCAAGGCAGTGAGCTGGGACTAGAGAGAATTATTGGCTGTTATGGGTCAGTAGAGCTCTCTCTTTTTTTTTTTCCTGGTTTTCAACAGAAATTTCCCCTGGGACACATGAAAACTTTCTGTGAAAGCTTCACAATTCTCATACTATTACATGAAAAATGCCTGTTTCAACAAATTAGCATTTTTCAGACTGCGATGCACACAGCTTACTGAAGGAATACTCCTCTCCATTCAAACGGAAACTGCGTGTGAGCAGGAGAGCCCTGAATTTGGGCACCCTCATGGTGCCCTCAGCGTGCCCAAAGGCAGCGCTGCAGGGACACCTTGTGGCACACAGACACCCCATGTAGGGCTTCGGGTACTCAGGTGTCCTGTGGTGGGGCTGAGCCCACCTTGAGCTTCCAGGCGTGGCAGGTGGGATCTGCAACGTGAGATGTTTTATTTGATATCTAAACCTGACACATAAGTGCTCACAACTGTCTTTTCTCTTGGAAGGAAGATGTCCCTGCTGCTGAACAATGTCTTTGTGATCATAGCTGCAGCCTTGTCAGGATTCAGCCGAATGGCAAAATCCTTTGAAATGATTATGCTCAGCAGATTTTTTACTGGCATGAATGCAGGTATGGCAACACGAGAAACATAGCAGGACAAAGGGGATAACAGGTAACAATTAGAAATAGAAGATATTCAAATAGGGATGATGCGAGATATGAAACCAATTAATCCTCCAGGCTGACCGGACACATGTAAGTGAATTAAGAAGTTGTATATACAGATTTTATATTTTGCTTCTGAGACCTTTTTTTGAAAAAACATGCATAGGCAGAGGTTTTGTGTATTAGTATCTGTGTGCACAGGGAGAATCTGAGCTTAAAATTGATCCCTGTCTGCTTGTAAGAATATCAGTCCCTCACCAGCATGAGCACGAACATTAAAGCTCTTGTAGAAGTTTATCCAAGGAAATAATGATTAAGTGTCTTAAAGTATGATCAAAATGGGGAAGTAAAGGGAAGCCATGCTTACTACCCTGAATTTGGTGCTGAAAAGACCATAGACGGAGGCCCTGACAGGTTTCAGTTTCGTTATCCACTAGTACTGATGAGTCCGGAAATGGGTGTTTAGCAGCCTCTGCGAAGAATAGCCGTGCGATTGAAGGTTTGGGGAAATAATGAGCACTGGCAGATGGGTCATTACATAGCCCACGGCAGAAAAGTGCAGCTGGCAACCTCCAGAGGTGGCTGACTGCATTTATCCTTGTCTCCTCCACCCACGAGCTGAGGTCACTGTTTGTCTGCCTTGCCCAGGTGTGAGCATGAACATTCAGCCCATGTATTTGGCGGAAAGTGCCCCAAAGAAGCTCAGAGGAGCTGTGGCCTTGACCTCTGCATCGTTTACAGCCCTGGGGTTGGTGCTGGGACAGGTGGTTGGACTCAGGTAATGTAAAGCAAAAACCCCGCTTATTAAATCTTTCCTTTTTTTTTTCTCTTTACTACCCCTTTCTTTCCATTCATTTTCAGTGCCCTCGTGCAGCAGAGGGTGCTGGGCTTTTGCCAGGTTGTTAAACGTACTGTGTAAATTTATTTTGGTTGGTTTATTTTTTCCTCTAGGGAACTCCTAGGCAGGGAGGAGAGCTGGCCATTCCTTTTGGCAAGCAATGTGGTACCTGCCCTGATCCAGCTCACAGCTCTGCCTTGGTTCCCTGAAAGCCCCAGATACCTCTTGATTGACCGTGGAGACAAAGAATCCTGCATCTCTGGTGAGTTTAGGATGGCTCGGCTCCTCACCGAGCATTTGAAATCTACCCACTGGGCAGATTGCATATCCTTAACATACATAACTATGTATGTTGTAAATATCACTTCCTCCTTCCAAACTAAAGAACATCCTATAATCTTAAATATATTTCACCTATTGAAGTAATTGAAAGACATCTGACATCTTCCTACAAAAGACTGTTTTCCTACGATAGGAAGGTCAAAAGGTGAGACTTGTGTTCGCAGTGGCAAATATGTTTTGTAACTATGAAGAGAAATAAATGCTAGTTGAAGAGCTCGGGATCAAATCTGAAGCCAATTCATATTAAAGGATTTGCTTAGATTTGTGGCATACAAATCCTCATATGAGAAGTGGCTGGAATTACTTTCTGGGAAATATGTGCTGTGTACCAAGAACATCTTAATTGCCTGCAATTCCCAGGGAAGTCACTTGAGATCTGAGTCAGAAGCACAGCTGCTGAAATGGCACTGGTGGGTTATCAAACAATGTGGAGGGATTTGCACTGCCTTTCCCCCAAATCCTTCAAGTGGCTGCACCACAACTGGCCGTCTCTGTGACGGTAACAGCGTGATCACAGACTGCAGAATGACAAACCAAATGTAAGGCTCGGGGGTAAGAGGTTCCCTTGTCCTTGCAGCACTGCAGAAGCTCAGAGGCACCAGTGACCTGAGTGCAGAGCTGGAAGAGATGCTGGCTGAACAGGCTGCTGTTAAAGGTCAGAGAGCAAAAAACCCGTGGGAGCTCTTCCAAAATCCATCTCTGAGGTGGCAGCTGGTGAGCATCGTTGTGCTGAGCAGCGCCATGCAGCTCTGCGGGAACGACTCGGTAAGAGCCTGATACAGGAGCCACAGCAGTGCTTTGTCATGGGATGTGTGTGAGAGCTCTTGTGTTTAACATCCTGTCTGCTGGAAAAGAACAAACAGTGGTCTTCCTGCCTGTGGAGACCTCAGTACACCTGTGCATTATGGAAAGATTCAGAAAGGTGCTGTCAAAATCACCTGTGTGACAGCACGTTAGTCACTCTCTGTGTGGTCCTTCAGGAAGAACAATGGGATGTATTTTCAGATGTCTTCTCTTACTGCTTTCTCCTCTCTTCTCTCCACAGATGTATTCTTATGCAGCTTATGTGTTCCAAGAGGCTGGAATTCCTCGGGACAAAATCCCATATGTTGTAATCGGTACAGGAAGCTGTGAACTGATCACGTCTGTCACCTGTGTGAGACTCTTAATGCACTCTGCTGACACGCAACCTCTGTTGACAGTGTGGAGGCTCTAAATAGCTAATTTTGGATTGACATGTCTTTTTTCATGCCAAGAAAGCCCTCCAAGCACAGCAGCCAGGCCATTTGTCAGCACCCACAGCCAGACAGGTTAACGCAGAATTATTTGGTCTGACATTGCATCGTCATCGCTGCCTAAAATCTCTAAAAAGTGTAACTTTCATGCTTTGTGTCCGTATGGATAGTGGCAGAGTTTAGGCTGCAGCTGGGACATTCTCTTGTCTCCTCAACACCCTTCTTGCCTGATTCCTGCCACCAGACCTTTCCTTTGAAATTTCTTTTTTTTTTTTTGCTAAGAAGCAAGACAACATCCTTAAAGTAGCTGTAGAGTGAACTAGGCACAGAGTATTGAAATGGGAAGAGGAAGCAGGCAGGAACTATAAACACGGGTCAAATATCTTGCTTTATTTCACTGTGTTACTTTGTGCAGAACATGATTATAGACTATGCTGGTCGGAGGCCGCTGCTGCTGGGGGGCTACATCTTCATGGCGGGATGGGCCATTGTCTTCATGGTCGCTCTGAGCCAGCAGGTAGCAAACTTTACTTATTTTTTTAAGTGGAATGGAGTTGGGCTTTGCTTTTTATATGACTGGGGTGTTCAGTGGTGGCAAATAAGTGTAAGTGCCCTCACTGGTTTTCCGTTGGTCTCTGTGGCTGTAGACTCAGATTAGCTGGATGCCTTATCTCAGCATGGCCTGCATTTTCGCCTATATCCTGAGCTTTGGAATCGGACCAGGTCAGTTCCCTCAGTGTTTTCACTGAAACTTTTGGGTACTGCAGGGGCTTGGAGATGTGTGCAAGCAGCCTATGGAAACTCTCAGACCCTCTTTAGCCACAGCATGCTCAAAGGAACAAGGCAGTTTCTGCCAGCAGTGTTCAGCTGTTTCTCAGGGGCTTGCATCGCATGCCCCTGGAAGTCAGTGTTGGGCAGGGTGTGTCTCTGTGTGGATATTTGGTTGTTGTGGGAGTAGATGTGAAACTCTGTTTGCTTACACAAGTTTGAAGGAAGGCAGGTAAGAATAGAATCAAGCTGCCAGTGTCACAAACCACACAACTTGGCAACAATTTCTTGTCCTACAGTGCCATGGGGCTGAATTAATTATAAGCCTTTCTCACGGTTTGGTCCTGGTAAGAATAATGTGGATTACAAAACTTTTCCTGGCAGTTCATTCTAACATGAGAAAGTTTGAATAATTAGCCAGGCCTTAATATTTAACCTAAAAATTCCCCTCTGCAGTTAATCTCTATTACCACTTCTTTTGGCATTGCTGACTAGTGAGAATAATTTGCTGAATAATAATTTACTGTTCTCTTATACTTAAAGGTGTGTTTTCTTGTTAAGATGTGTTCTCTTGTTTTTAATGTCGTGTCAACAATATTATTAACTTTCTTGCCATTTCTTTTCCCAGCTGGTGTAACAGGAGTTCTGCCCACAGAGGTTTTTGATCAGATGTCCCGGCCAGCTGCTTACATGATCTGTGGCTCCCTGCTCTGGTTCAACCTATTTCTGGTTGGAACAGCCTTTCCATTCATCGTGGTGCGTTCCAAAGGCAAAGCAATCGCCTGCAGCTCTTTAGTGCTCTGTACAAGAAAGAAGCTCTGGTAGTGACCAGGAAAAGAGAATATTGCAAGCAGCAGTATAGCACTGCTGTGAAAGTATCTTTATGAGAAAAATGGCCAGAACTCCTCTAAACCAAACTTTCTCCATGTTCCCTATGGTGAATTCTGATTTGAGGTTGGGAGAAGACTAATTTGGGGCATGGATGACCAATATTCCTCCTCTGTCCTCAGCTGCGAACAGCTGGGACTAAAGATGTGATGCAATTTCCTTTGGCCAGACCCTGGCACCATTTCCTAAGGTGATTTCTGAAGTGAAAGGGAGCAGAATATACATTCCTGTCTTATTTCCTACTGAGGGTTCCTATTCTATGTAATTGTATATAGAGAAAAAGATATTTTGAAATACTATTCTTGCTATCTCAAATCTCCCAACCTCTGCTGGGGAGCTATTGGCTCCAGGCATGTGAGACCCTCACCAGGGTGCAGAGAAATATCCCCTTGGCTGACCTCAGTCCACGCAGGAACAGGGATTAGTGGCCTATTTGTCACCACACAGAATGTCACCAACACTGTCTTGTTTTTTTCCTCCTCCCCAGAAAAGTCTAGCACATTTCTGCTACATCCCATTCCTTGTGGTCTGTGTCTGCACTGCACTCTACGTTGGATTTTTCCTTCCTGAGACAAAGGGAAAGTCCTTCCTGGAAATCTCGGAGGAGTTCAAGAAACGGAACTTCAAAACTAAGACCCGTGCGGGTTTCTACAAAGGCCCTGAAGAGATCAAAACCACCACACTGTAGCAGAAGAAAGGAAGATGGTACCTGGGGGAGTGGTGCAGTGAATTCAGCAGTGACTGTGTTCCCTTGCAGGGACACCAAGAGAAAAGTAGGGTTAGGGACAATACATTACTCTTAGGTCCTTAAGTTCACCTTGAAAACACATGCTTGAACTGATAAATACAAACAGAAGTTTGATAATCTGTTCTCAGTTTTTAATACTGAGTTTTTAATGCATATTTTAGAATCCGGTGACAGAATGATGCCTTGTTCTCTTATCATCAAACATCATGTAATGCTTGAGCAAATTTCCTCAGAACTTCTCCTCTACCCAAAGAGTAACTTCCATCTCAGAAGCCTTTCTTTCCTTGCCCCTGAATCTGGGCTCTCTAACACAGAAATTAATGCGATTAAATTCTGTTTTCAGACACCAGATGAAATTTTCAGTACCTTGTCTTGGTGCTCCCGTTGTTTCTGTTATTAAGTGATTTCAAATAGACCCCTACTTGTTGAGCAATAGTGAGCAGTTAATTATTTTCAGCTATAAAAGCATGTGACAGATGGATTAAGAAGAAAGCTTCTAGTACTTGCTAAGTGGCTTATTATACAACAGACTTTTGGGCATTGTTTTGCGGAATATTTATTCTGGACTGGTTTTCTTCATGGCTTGTTTGTTGTCTTCCAGTCCTATATTGTAAAGCACAGGTTCCCCAGTCCAGTTTGTACTGCTCTCACAGACCCTGCTGGTGCACCTTGTAGGGTTTTGTGCCTGTGCTCTGCTAATGGTAAGTGTGGTGAGGAGCTCGTGTGCAGCAGCTTATTTTGGGTGTGGAGATTTAGATCACACCTGGACACTCTCTGCAGCATGTTCTTGTCTCCACAGAGCACGCTGGAAAAGACCCAGATGTGATAGTGATTGCTTTTAGTTAACCTGGTGCAGAAGAGGGCAACACTCCTCATTTAATATGGCCTTTCACTTTGTTCATATGGCAGTCACAGCACTGCTGACGGCTGCAGCAAAGAACACATACATTTTCAAAAGAAGTTGCTAAAGTTTCTCTCAGTGTATTTTTTAACTGCATTTTTTGGGAAATACAGAACTTTTGAATGACAAGACTGTAAATGTTTCCAGAGTGTATTACTGTCATTGCTGGGCATGTGTGGAGCAGCAGATCTATTTCTCAGAAGTGGAGTCTGTGCAAGAACTCTCTTTCACTACCTAAAGTTTATAACACAAAAAAAATAAAGAGTAAACTTTTGTTCCTTTGTGGTTGCTGCTGTTTTAGAAGTCATCAATATACAGACGTGGGCAAGAGCAGGTATCTCTGCTCTTGGAAAACACTGAGGTTTTGAAGTATGCAGGATTTTGAGAGAAGACAATCAAGAGCAGGACTCCCTGGAGCTGGGAACTGAAGAGATACTTTTCATTTCTATAGTTTGAACAGAGCAGTGAGGGGCAGATGGAAAGAGTAAAGCACACAGTTGAAGCAAAAAGTGACAGTACCGTTCTGGTGGTGGCAAAATACTCTGTCATTCCTTTGGTGAGGACCAGAGGAAGGAGAGAAGACAGAAGTGAAGCAGAGAAGACAAGGCAATAGTGAGGATGCAGGATAGGAAGCAGGGAAGGACTGAAGAGACTCCCTGGGCAGAGGGAGAGGCCTGGCACACACCACTGGGACATACAGGTCAGAGAAGAGAGAAGCCCTCCAGTGTCCAGAGGCCCTCACCTTGGCCACCACCGTGGCTACTCCCATGAGTCAGCACTGTACTTATCCCCCGAACCCTGGCAGGCCAGAGACCATCTGCACCCCTCAATATGAAACATGCCTGTTCAGAAATCATACACAGTTAATTGACTTCCTGAGTTTCAGAACCAGTCCTGTGAGTACATATGGCAGAAAACACTAATTCAAACTTCCTGAAATCAGGAGTCTTTAGACTGATTAAGCAAATGCAAACAGTGGTTACATTTCAGTTGGTCTAATTTGTTAAATTTTAATTGAAGCATTTAACAAGTTGGTTAATTGATACTGAATTCAAACACCTTTGACTGAAAAGATATATGACACTTGTTCAGATTTTCTTATCATGTGAAGTGTTAAACAAAAACACGTTGAAAAGTGATCCTCAGAGACTCATTATGGTTCATATTACTGTTTGCAGATCAAGTAATCATGCAATGTTGGATTTATTAATAACTATCAACACCAGAGAAAAATAGTTACTGCTGCTGTCCTCAAACACTGCTCTTCTTCACAAGTTACCTCTCACTTCAAACCCAGTTGGGGCTGGGATTCTTCCAGGCACCAAAGACATGCAGCATCCTGGCCTGTGGAATTGCCAAGTGCAGCCTCTCACCAGAAGATGGAATTCCCCCCTAAGCTCTTTGAACAACTTGTAAAAGCCTTTTAACAGAACCAGCTCGGAGACTGCTAGATAAAGAGGCCTTTTGAGAATTATGGATAAAAGTAAAGATGTAATTTATTTATTTTGAAGTCAGGATTTAAAACTGAGATTCAACTTTCTTAGCATCTGACATATATTATAGGGACACAGACTTGAACTTTCAGGCAATGACCTTTACTCTTAAAGAGTCAACTGATCCCACAATTCAAGAGTTGGATGCACAGGCAGAGTCAGGTTTGGCCAAGTCAGGCTTCAGAAGGCTTTGCTGTATTGAGGCTCAAGGTAGCAGTCAGGAACTTGTCCTTTAAATGTGATAACTGATTACCCAGCCTATGACTTGGGGAGTCCAGACCGGTCCAGTACAGTTTGTGCCAGTCCCTGGACTTTGGCTTCCATGAGTGCTTTTTTTGATGCCCACTCAAGCAATGGCATTCACCTGAGCAGAAATCAGCTTGTAAATATTTGGCAGGGATTGTTTGAATGTGACCTGTTCTAGAGACAGAGGTGCAGCATCACACCATCATCGCTGGCCAGAATATCCCAGGACAGTCAGGAACAGGAGGAGTGGGAGAGGTTGAGGTGTGTGAGGTGTGCATTTATTGCAGTCCTTTATTCTTAAGCCTCCTGTCAGATAGTTCTAAGAAAGGGTGAATAAACCATGAAACCAGGAATGCCCTTCAATCCCCAAATGTTTATCCAGTCTCAGCCAAGTCACAGAGCAAAATATTCACTTAGGTGAGATAACAAGGGGGAAAGGAGGAGAGGAAAGGACAAATAGATGGAATTGTTGACGGCGCGCTTGCACATTGCACCGTGCTCCCACAACCATGACAGTGCAGATTGAGATGGCCAAAGCTGCAGACAGAAGCACTGAAGTGTGTAACTGGGTTCCAGGAAACAGCTGTGAGCTTTGTCTCTCCTCAGATTCCTCACTGTCCTGTGCATTAGTAGCTGTGGTTTCCTAGTGCTGGCTCCTTGGTCTCAGAGGAGGCAGGTGTGTGGCATTGCTCAAACTGTTAGAGCTCCTGAGGAAAACACAGGACATTGGGGGCATGTCTGAATAGCTGTACCAGCTTTGTTTGCTGCTTTTATTTCCTGCCAGAAAATGAGCTACAACCTCTTTCTGCTACCTTTTGTCCTGGGCATTGGTGGAGGTTTCCAGTATGGGTTGCAGGTCTCCATTATCAATTCTCCTGCTGAGGTAAGCGTGGAGAGCTCCAAGAGTGAGCTACTAGCATGGATTTCACTGTTCTCAATGCCTCTATATGCAATCACTAACTTTTTAAATTCTGCTCTCAAACCTAGACCTCTGGTTTCTTAGTTCTAAGAGTAGCTACTATTGCTCTTGTGTTTCATGGGGTTTTAACTTCTATCTAATGTGGCAGACCTGGGAAAGGGGAGGATGAATGATATCCATAAAGTCAGCCATTTTCCCCTTGCTGAGTTGAATTGCTCATAGGGCATTCTTCTCTTTTCAGTGCTCAGGGGGCCTCTTGTACATGTGCTTGGCCACACACACACTGTGTCTAAGTGACTGTAAGGTGCAATAGGACAGGGCAGGACTGTAGCTCTAGAGCTGAGTTCAGCACTGATACCTGCAGCTGGAAAAGCAAAATTAGGGAAGGTGTTTGTCATCCTGAATGGTACCAAGGACATTGAGCTCATACTATCACTACGTTGTGAACCCTCACCAAGAATGAGGGTGCCATGGAGGTTGTGAAAAGCAGGCCAGAGAGACCTCACAACAGACCACGTCGAGGGACAAAACCTGCTCTCACTTGAGTCAGTTGAAGTCAAACCTGGATTTCACTCAGGGCATCAGATGCAGCAGGTGGACAAAAGAGACAGACACACTAGCAGGAAGGTGGGAAAGATCAGGTAGCAAAACCATCAGGTTTTAGTACAGAAACAGAAGACCAACCTGCCATGCAAAATTGCCATTGATTTCATCAGGGCTAAGATTTCAACCAAGGAATCCATAGAAATGTATCAAAAAGGCCAGTAGGAGAATTAAAAAAGAGGCACAATTATGCAAAAAGCATGTTGACTGAGTCCACAGGTCTCTGCTTTTCTTTTCAAGTACATCAAGAGTTTCATCCGTGAGACCTGGCTGAAGCGATACGGCTCCACTCCCAGTGAGGACATGATCACTCTGATGTGGTCCTTCATTGTGTCCATTTACAGCATCGGGGGGCTCCTGGGCTCCTCCTCTACTGGATACTTGGCTGTTAGATTTGGAAGGTAGGAATAGTGATTACATTAGTCCTTCTATTTACACCCACAACTGCAAAAATAAGTGACCATGTCTTGGGAGAAACACTGCTTGTAAAGTAGCACTGTGAGCAGCCCAGGGCTGCTTCCAGTGAAGGATCAGTACTAAATCACACTCTCTCCCTTATAAAGTCCAAAGTGAATCCAGGCCGGGGAAATCAAACAAGGAGTGCATGCATTTTAAAGTGAATATCACAGACAATCAGTCACAAACCTTGTTCTTCAGTGTAGATATTGGCTTCACTAGAGGGGTCAAAAGCTTGAACTAACTTATCAATCTGTGACAGTTTTCCCATTCCCTTTTCCCATTTACTTTACTGCAGCCGATCTCAGAAGCTGGCACAGAGTCTGTAACCATGGTACAATTCGTGTCACTTCTGTCAGGTGTGAATGACACATGGACAATATTTATGCTCACAGTAATTTAAGTGAATTCCAGGAAAAAGTCCATGCTCCTTGCCAACATCCCTGCTCTGCTGAGCGCAGCTCTGATGGCACTCAGCCGGCTGTGCGGCTCCTTTGAGATGATCATCGCTGGAAGGTTTTCTGCTGGACTGTGTGCAGGTAAATTAACATTCCTACTTATGGCATTAAATAGTTGGAAGAGCAGTGACTCAGGGTCACGAGGATTTATCAGTACACAGACCACAGATTTTTACTAAACCCTGCAGAGGACATGATTGCTTATTTTTAATTAAATAAGAAACCACAAACATAATTAAATTAGTAATGTCTAACATCTCCATTTCTCTTTCTTCTATCTTTACATCCAATCCCTATAAAAGGTACTGTCTTTTGAAAAAGCCAAAACATGCAATATTTCAGGGGAACCTGCTCACTCAATAAAGAGCTGACCTCTGTTTTCCTGTTGTTTCTCACTGTGGCTGATGCTGCCCTCCATATTACAGACAAGGGAATGGTTTTCAAACTGGGCAATTCTAATTTCCAAATGGTTACATTCTCCCAGTGTTTTCAACCCCTGAGAAGTTGGATAAAGATAATACTAACCAGCAAAAAAAAAATAAAAAATGGAGAGAGGATAAATATTAATTAATTCATTCACTGAAATGCAAATGGAATGTATAGAATTTGTTAACTTCTTGGTTTCAAGCACAAAATAAGGCACATATCATCCTGAATAAACACTGAAATACTTCATCTGAGACTAAAGGGAGTAACTACAGTCCTGTATATGTGACTGTAGGAAATGATATAAGAGAAGGCCAGCCTGCTGAAGGACAGAGTTCCCAGGGGCAGGTACTTGCCTAGTGAAATATTTAGCAAAGACATGAGGCCACGGTACAGGGCACATGCTTCATGTCAGGCAGACACATACTCAGCACAGTTAAAAAGGTGTCTCAAAGCCAACCCCTAAAGGCTTTGACCATAATGGTCCCCTCCAAAACACTACACCCTTGTGGGTTTGCTTTGCCCTAACAGTCCTTTGTCACTGCAGGTTTATCTCTGAATATCCATCTCATGTATTCTGGGGAATGTGCCCCACGGAAGCTCCGTGGGCTGATTGCCATAACAGCTTCTACTGCCGTTGCCTT